TTTTTTTTTTTTCAGAACCGGGGATTGAACTCAGGCCCTTGCGCTTGCCAGGGAAGCGCTTATTCCACTGAGCCATCTCCCTGGCCCCCCTTTCACATAATTGAAGATTCCCTGGAGCTATGACCAAGGCCTTCTCCGAATGATATATATATATCTCCCTCAAGGACTTCCCCAAGTGAGGTTTTATGTTAATCCATCCAGAAATGAGATGCCTGAGGTACAGTCTCTAGTTGAGGTTGGAGCCCAGTGTCCTTGACTCTGACCTTGAGGCCTCAGCAGTGACCAGTGACTCACAGAAGTTCACTTACTGAGTCTACTGGTTAATTTAAGTCCTACTGAGAGCTGCTTCATAGTGGCCTCCATCAGTAAAAAATGAAAGATACTAGCTGGTTGCCTGGTTTTCTGGTTTGGGTTTTATTTTCATTTTGATTTTGTTTTTATTTTGTGACACAGTTTCACTATGTAGTTCAGACTGACCTAAAACTCACGGTGTAAGCCAGGTGTCCTGAACTCATGGCTACCCTTCTGATTCAGCCTCCTGAGCCCTGGGATGGCAGTCCTATGCCACCATGCCTGGAAAGATTATGATTTTCTTATTTCTAAACTGAGTGGAGAATCGATTACATCTGAAGAAGCAAATAAATATTTAAATGCAATTATGTGTTTTGCATTTATCATAAATATATTTATCAATATATAGTCTCATGATGGAGGTAAACAAATCCTGTGTGATTACTTGCACCATGTTCACTTGATTTCAAATAACTATGCCCAAGGTAGCCACAGTGTATGGTATTAGAAGCTCCTTGGGCCTCCACAATCACATCAAACAAAATGTTATTTGATTTGAACTCTTTGAAACTTGGAATATTAATAAATGTGGTTAATATGCCATTAGTATTATGATGAAAAGATTATATATGGTTTCAATTAGACAACCTAGGTGACAGAATTGTAGGGGATTTCACATTTTTGCCAGATAGCTCAGCAGACTAAAGCACCTGTTTGGAAAACTGAGGCAAGCACAGGTACCACAGTTCAATCCCCAGCACCACATGCCCCGCCAGCCCCGCCCCAGGGCGGGCTGAGCTGCCAAAAAAATGAAAACATGTTACTGTTTATTTTTTCTGTAAGTGCAAATGAATTAGAAATTTTAATAGAATAATAAAAATTTCCAGTGTGCAGGTGATTAAAAATTCAAAAATTGTACAAATGTTTACATTTGATATTGTAAAAAATTCTCACATCAATAAAAAAGAAAGAGCACATATAAACAACCCAAAACTGCACCTTAAACTTCTAGAAAAACAAGAGCAAGTCAACTCAAAGCCTACAAAAGGGGGAAAACTACAAATATCCGAACAGAAATTAATGCCATTAGATATGACAGAAAAATGAAAGGAATAAAGATATGAAAGGAAGAATTTAACATGTATTTATTTGAAGATAACATAGTACTCTGCATAGAATACCCCATTATATATATGATTTATAGTTTCATATATATATAATTTCATATATATATGAAACGTTGTATCCAACTGTATACAACAAATATCAAGAAATGCAAAATCAATTAGCCACTAACACAGTTGTTTTGGGGTTCTTAAAACCTTACTCTCACAAATAGCCAGATCAACTAGACAAAAAAATTATATTTTCTTCAATGGTCCCATTGTTACAAAATTTTATCTGTATACTCATATCTGTTGTGTTTAATGTAGTCTTTAAAAAATTAACATCATAAGTGTTTATATAATGGAGGACATGCAAATAGGACCTTCCCCTGCTGATGAAAACTAGCCCAGCCCTGACTGTGCTGCTCTGGACAGATACCTACCCTTGATCCTTAGGTTTTTCCAGTGATCAGGACTGAGCACAGACAACTCACCATAGAGTTTATAATGAGCTACATTTTTCTTATGGTGGTTTCAATGGAAATTGAACAAAAACCGGATACTGAATATGTGCATGGGCATGACTTAGATGAAGTCGACATAGTGAAACTTTGTTGAGCAGGATGTCTCTGTTGGCAGATGTCCGGTGTGAGCTGCAGCAGGTGGAGTCTGACGGATGCTTTCTGAAGCCGGGAGGGTCACTGACACTGCCTTGTCCAGCCTTGGGAAAAACTTCAACAATTATTCATGCAACAAATCTCCCAGGCTCCAGAGAAGAGGCTGTAGTTGGTCTCAACATCTGTGGAGATAGTAGTGACATAAAGTATGAGGACGCCATGAAGGGATGGCTCACCACTTATAAGGAGAATGCAAAGAACACACTGCATCTGCGAATGAACAGCCAGAGAACCAAGGACACAGCCACGTATTACTGTGCAATAATAGTAGTAAATATGAGTCCTGACACAAACCTCCCTGCAGAGGTGTTCTTGACCACCAGATGGCGCGCTGATCCATGGAGAACCAGGCAGGGCCACTGATGCAGGTGAGAGAAGCTGAGCGGTGAGGGCTTCCTGTTGGCCTCTAGGGTTTCTTCTCTGCGTTAATATCATGTAACCTGAGAAGGTCCTGAAATACAGAAGCTTCTGATGACTTATAAAGTATTTAAGATTATATATATGT